CCTTGAGTCTAACAATGTGTTTACTGCTCCATTAAGGAGTCTTGAATTCCCGATTCCTAGCACCCCACAGACCCCAAGAAGCACTTACCCATGCTTTTTGGGCTGAGGTTGAGGGGTGAGGTCATTGTGTTTTGACTAGAGGAAAGTTCTGGCTTTAGATGTGGATCTGAGCAGCAGCAATGTACTGTGTGGTAGAGATGGGAGATTAAAAACAGTGGCTCAAAGTCCTCACTCCTGGCATGAGAAGGAGGTCCTTTGATTCTCTGGTAGGTAGCAGTATGGCAAAGGGGGAGGAGTAATGGGCTGGGCCAGGTTATTTTCCAGGGCGTGGCCTTAGGCATACTGTATTAGGCATACTGTATCACCTCTCTGGCCCTCAGTTTCCTCATATGTGAAATGGGGACAACACTCCCTGCCTTGGGTGGGTTTTGGGGGATCCAAGAAAATGTGGGCGAAGCATCTGAGTATGGGGCCCACAGGGATCAATACCAGACCACCTCCTTGCAGGGAGGTTGAGAGGCAGCAGACCAGAGACAGACCACCACTGCCTATGGTCACCAGCTCAGCTCCAATTACTAATTAGCAGCTGTGTAGCCAGGACACCTTGCTGTGCTCCTGTCTGTGGTTGCGTGTGGCAGGCTGGCCCGGTGGCGTGAGCAAGGCAGCACTCAGAAGGGCTGGGAGGCATGGAGATGGAGGTGAAGTCCCCTGGGCATTCTCCAACAGTGAGGTCACCATCTCCAGTTCCCCAGGGCTTCCCAAGCCACAGGCACCTGGAACAGCCCCAGAGCAGAAGGCAGTGGTGGCAGGGGTCAGGGCCGGGACACAGGGCCCCATGGCCTGGGTCCAGCGATGGCCCCCACCCCCCACAGTGGGTGCTGTGGCAGCCAGTGTTATCTCAGGCAGCCGGGTGTTTCCTGTTTAAGAAGTGGCTCAGAGAAGGGAGCTGGGGGAGAGGGGAGGGGCAAGGCAAAGTAACTAATTAAGGCTCCTTGAACTCCCCCCAAGTGCCCAGTGCTTCCATGCCCTCTACCCCATTTCATCCCAGGGATGACCTCACTCAGTAGTGGGTGTTATTACCACAACTTGCAGATGGTGTAACTGAGGCTTAACATGGTGAAAAACCTCGTCGGAAAGGGAAAGGAGTGTGGCTAAGAGACTTTGGAATCAAACACACCCAAGTTCTAATCCAAGCGCTGAGACCCATGAAGGTCAAGTTCCTTAGCTCTCTAGGTCTCAGCTGCGTCACCTGTAAAACGGGGACAGCCACAGGCCCCACCTTTCTGGGTTAAGACTCAAGGAGATGATACAGGTAATGTACTGAGAACAGGGTCCAGCACATTATCTCCATCTTACTGAAAATGGAGCCGCAGAACCGTGAAGCACCCTGCCTAAGGTAACACGACTAGTCAGTGGCAAAGGCAGGATTTGAACCCAGATCTAATTGTTCCTGCTCTATGTCCACCACTGTGGAGAGGCTGACGGTGGCCCCAGTTTCCAAAGGGCTGTCAGGAGGTGGCTGGCAAGGCGTGGCTGCTTAGGACAACCAGTGCCCAGATTTCCTGCGAAGCCATGGAGCCTGCCCTGGGAGAGGAGTGCAGGGTCACGCCTGCAAGGGTTCCAGGCAGCAGGGAGGAACGGCGGCAGCGGGCCTGGAAGGCTGGCTTGTCCTGCAGCATCCAGCCCGCTGCTGACACGGCCCCAACATTGTTTCTGGGACTTTCCCAGGCGAGGCGCACACGTTAGGGATTTCCGGGGGCCTGGTCTGAACCACCTTCTCTTTCCGGAGAAGCTGGGGCAGGCGGCTGGGGTGGGGACGGAGCTGGGCCTAGCCCCTTGCCCTGGGCAGTGCCTGCTGCCTGCCGGGAAGGGGCTGGCAGCCAGCACCCGTCAACATCCCCTTGACCTGACAAACCCGCCCTCTGACACAGAGCTGGGCTCCTCACTCACCTCTCCGGAAGCCACCAGAAGCAAAGGCTGGAACTTGTTTTCACCGTAAGGCTGGGTGAAATCCTCCAGCACACCCCACCCCTCGGTGCCTCAGGCCCGTGTAAGGGATGACTGGCCAATACCCTAGACCCGAGGTCCCCTCATGCTGGGACATGAGCTCAGGAACAATCACCATCTCCTGTGCTCAGGGACATTCAGAGACTAAGGTTGAGGTGAGTGTTTCCCTTCCGTCCTCTGTATGTTTGCATGGGGTCTGTTAGCAGTTACCGAATGTTTATTCCAAAAGCTTCCAGACAGGATGATGCTAGGAAATCCCCGGCATGTGCACCTGGGCTGGGAAGAGCCCAGAAACAATGCTGGGGCCGTATCTGTGGCCGACAGGATGCTGTTTGGAGCAGTGTCTCACAGCTCCACTGACGTCACCCTGGGCTCAGTCTCTTCATCTGGGAAACGGGGACAACATCCGCCTGGTGGGGCAATACTGAGGGTTACATGCGAGGACACAAGGCAATTCCATTTCCATCCAGTCCGAGGCCTTGGAGAAACTCTAAAAACCAGAACACATGGGCGGAAGCCACACCCAGGACCTCTGGGCTGACGGAGCTGGCTGGTGGCCTGCGTCGTTTCCTGGGCGCCCCAGCCTGGCTGCTGAAGACTTGCCAGGTGTCTGTGCTCCACAGGGGCTGGCTCAGGTCTCCTGCCCCCAAGTGGACACCAGGCGCTGCAGCTGCAGTGCTCACCCCTCTTCCACAGGCCGGGAGCCAACAAGGCACCCAGCGGCGACGCAGAGCCAGCAGCATTCCCGGTGAGGTCAGTAACTGGGATTAGTCAGACAGGCTCACCCCAAGGACCTGTGCTCACTGCCGTGACTCACAGCCACGCACAGCCCCGGGCAGAGCTGCCGCCTGGGCCACCGAGGCAGCGCCATGGCACACCTTTTAAGGTGAAGGAGTTGGGCAGGGCCCACTCTGGCCCTGGAGGCCTCCATGCCCACCCAGAGCAGAGAGGGAAGACATCCACCTGGACTCCCATTGGGCATTTTATCTTTTTAGACTTTGACCCTGGGCAAGTTAAGGTTTCTGAACCGGTTCCTTCACTTGTAGAAATAATCCTTACCTCACAAGAGAGGAATTGGATGAGGTCATGTGTGTAGAAAGAACTTGGCAAATGGCACCTTTTAAGGAGCGATGGTGGGTGCAGTGGCAAGGGTGACGGGGCAGGCGGGCAGGTCGCACGGCCCCGCCCCTTCCAGCTGTGTGTCTGAAACAGTTACTCAGCCTCTGCAGCAGGGTCCTTGCTGTGAGGCCACCTGTAAACCACGTGGAAGCTCCCAGCCTGGCCGGCTTGCTGGAAGATTAGGAGACACACACACACATTTTACGGCATGGCTTTGAGGGGCAGTGAGGGCAGAGCTTAGGGGATGGGCTTTCTGAGCCGGCTTCGTGTGTAACAAAGGAAAGATGATGACTGCCTTGGGTTGAGGTGGGGGGTGTGGAAGAATTAGGGCAAGCCTGGCGCCCAGGAAGTGCTTCTGAGTAATGGCTGGCCCCGCTCATCTGACTTAGCTCCTGCTTTTGGTGGGCGCTCACTGGACAAGCCCCGCCTTCACCAACGCTGGGAGCTGGTGAAGTGTCCCTCCGTGTATGTGCCTCTAGCCTACAGTCTATGAGAGGCCCAGGCCACCACCTCTGAGCCAGTCCCGAGCTCCTGCACCATGCACAAGCATCAGTGTCCCTAGGCAGACCTGGGGTAGCTCTTCAGACCCTGGGATCACTCAGGCAGCTGTCTAGGGATAGGGCAGCGGCAAGGCACAGACAGGGCCCACAGCAGCCCAGGGCTGAGGGAAGGGTGTCGGGACCCCCTGCTGTCAGCACCTGAGGCTACAAGGAAGTGGTACTCAGCCCTTGCAGGAGGTAGGAGGCTTTCTTGGCCAGCAGGCCTGGTTTGCCTAGCTCACTCGCCCATGGCCAAGGGACCTGGGAATGGGCAGGGGTGGAGGCAGCTGCCGAGGCTCGGGGTTCCCCCTGAGCACACACAGGAAGCCCAGCCAGGCTTCTTGTGGGAGCAGCCAAAAGCATCAGGGAACAGGAAGCTCAGGAGATCGAGACACGTGCTGTCGAGGGCTCAGACTTCAGGAGCAACCCCAGGTCCTCATCTGCGTAATGGAGACAACACCTGCTTGCCCTTCGAGGGGTGAGAGCTGCGTGTTTGAAGGAGGTACCCCCCAAACAGCAGCCACCTGATGGTAGGACAGTACCAGGTGGGACTGGCGAAGGGGAAGATGGTGTGGAAGTCAAAGGAAGAAACAGCAGCAGCCTCGCCTCAGGGAGGCCCCCCTGTGCTCTCCTCGCCCACCCCATGCAGCGGAAGCCATCAACAGTGCAAACCCTCACTTTATTGGTCTGATTTCTTCACAGTTCAACCATCTGCTCAGAGACCCAAACGGCCAGCAAATGGGGAGAGAAGGTTTAGAAACTTCCAGAATCAAAAGTCTGCAGGTCCCCCAGCCCATGGCTTGCTCTCAGCTCTCATGCCGGGAGGGAAGGTGGGAGGAGGAAGGTGGTGGCCTTTGGGGCAGGGGTGACTGGGTGATTTTAGAATGGGGTCTAGGGTCTGTTCTTCTCAGCAGAAAGAGGAAGGGATCATAAAGTTCTTTATTAGAGACCTACAAAAAATGAGAGAACGCCCTATTACTCTCACAAGTTGGGATTTCTTGTTTCTTTCTTCTTTCTACAAAACGGCAGCAGGAGAGAAAGGCAGGAGGCAGACGGCTGGGACTGGGTTCAGATCAGGGGGAGCCAAAGAGACCAGGGTGCTCTAGCCCACAGGGTCACAGGCTGGTTGCACCCACAGGCAGACTGGCTGCCTGCCTCCTGGGAGGACTGTGGACAAGAGGGCAAGAGGCGGGAAGATGGCTGTCCCGGGTCAGCAGTAGCACCGCTCCCCTGCCAGCCACCCCAGGGGCCAGACCGAGGGAGACTGCAGGAAGGGCACTGCAGAAGGGCTGGGCATTCGTCAGGGCCCCTCCTGAGGACCACAGGGTCCGAGGTGGGCAAGGGCAGTCGGGACACTTCCCTGCTTGTCAGCCAATCAGCTTCTTCAGGAAGGCCTCCAGCTGGTCCTCGTCCTTGATGCCCACAAACTTGTCCACCACATCCCCATTCTTGATGGCCAGCACGGTGGGCACGGCAGATACCTGGGTGAAGGGAGATGGAGTCACCCACATGGACAGTGCCTCTCAGCTGCTGCTCCTGAGCCTCTGCAGGGAGGCTGGTGGCGAGGCCAGGGCCATGGCGGCCCAAAGCCACAGGCAGGGCTGGATGAAAGGGGCCCTTTCCTGGTGCTGGGCGACTGTAGGACCTGGCGGTTCTCCCACTGGAGACGGTTCTTCCACTTGGGCTCCCAGCAGTGCCCTTCCTCCCCGCCGTGCCTCTGACTCACTGGCCCAGTGGTCTAGCCGCAATGACAGGAGATGAGAATAACCAGCAGCTGTGGTCGGGGCAGGGCAGCATGGCACAGGGCAAGACCTGGAGATGGGGCTTTGCCGCTCATTAGCGGAGGGCCTCAGCCCGCCACGCCACCTCTGGGAGCCACAGGGTCCTCGTCCATCCCCAGGGGTGAGAATATCTACTGTGAGCACTCGGAACAAGGATAAAGGCTTGGACACACAGAGCTCAGTGCGAGGCGCTCGGGCCCTGGAGCCCAGGGTGGCTCCAGGGCACTCCTGCTCCTACCAGCAGGGCAATTGTGCGTTTCTCTAGGTCTCAGTGTCCACATCTACTAAATGGGGACGCTGACACTCCCCTGACGGTTAGCAAGCTCGTGAGAAAGGCCTGGCGAGCTGCACCGAAACATCAGCACTGAAAACCCCACGAGGGGCCGGGACCCACATTCCATCTCCATTACAGGCGAGAGGGGGACGCTCAGGGTAATGTTGCCTGTCGGCAGACAGTGAAACCTAAGCCACCCTGACCCCAGCCAGATGCCTCAGAGCTCAGCGATACTGGTGGGTCTCTGCCTCTCCCCGACACCCACAGCCGTGTGGGCCCTCGGTCCCCCAGAGAAGGAGCCTGCTCACACCTGTTCCTGCAGGAGCAGCCAAGAGATGCGGTGGCAGCTCAGGGCTGGGGCAGCTTCGTGGGCAGTGGGAGCCCCACAGGACAGGTGTGTGCTCCCTATTGATAACGTTTAAAATGACAGCAACATAAATGGACCAAGTCTGTACACATGCACGTAAAACACCTGGTCACGGACAGCCAAGCCAAGTGCAGAGTTTACCTTGAGGGGTTGGAGAGGGAGGAGACTTTCTGTTTGACACATTTGTAAACTGTTGGATAAGCTTTCCAAACACAAAAACCCCTACAGAGTACAAGTCTATTCTGACTCTCACGGGGTTGCCATGGCCGGTGCCTCTTATCAGAGGACCGACGACTGAATGACATGATCCGTGTGGAGTCTCAGGGCAGTGCCCTGCACCCAGCAAGCCCATCGGAAAGTGCAGACCCTGGCACGGTGCCTGGCACAGAGCCACCAGGCACCCACTGAACGGCAGCCACAGAGGTGCCTCTAACACAGGGCCCTGCCTCTCTAGGCTTGACCGGCTGAGTCCAGAAACTCAGACTCAGGCGACCAGTGCGAGGGAGAGGCTCAGCAGTCCAGCCTGACACCTATAGTCTATGAGGGTGCTGGAGGCAGATGGGGCAGACATCCCTGACCTCTGAGGCATTCACTCAGGGCCCCTCAGGGAATGTAAATGAGGCCCCTGCCTGCACAGCATCTCCCACTGTCACCCCAGGCTCCTGCCTGGCATTCACGGGCACCTGAAAACCATCGAAACAAGATAAACCAGACTTCTCTTCCACACTAGCTAACTACAACATCACAACGTGGATTCACACAAACATACCAGCTTCTGAGTGCTGCCCTGCCCACGAGCCACCTGGGGGTTACAGATCGAAGATTTAAAACACTCACACTGGCACGTTAGTTTTAAAAAAAAAAAAGGCCTGGCCCACATCTCAGCTGGTGCCATCCCCCACTCCAACTTCACCATATGGGCCCTACACCCGCTCCTAGGCAACATGGCCCAGGCCCTGTCTGTGCCAGTGCCTCCAGGGCCCTGCAGAAGTGTCCTGGGCTGGTGTGGGTGATGGCTGACATAACCTTCTGGGAGGGTGCCGGCTGGCTGACTGGCATTGGGCAGAACACACGTCACTGCTCACGGTCCCCACAGATGGCTCTGGCCTCTGTCATTCTTAACTCTGGCGTGGGTGAAGGGCCCAGGACTTGTCTTGCCCAGTCGATGGCCACAACAGCACCTTCATGGTGTTTCAGTCTCTTGTGCCCTCTAGCGGTCAGTGAAGACAACTGGGCACCTCAAATCTGGCCATTTTCAACTGCGGCACAAAACTTTACTAGCTGTTCAACATAGCACTTTCCAGACACCACCCTGTCCTGTTTCCCTTCATTATGCAAGAAGTGCTCTGCCATTTCTCGCAGGGTGAGCAGTTTTTCTAGCAGGATTCTTAAGCTTGCCAAGGTGGAGACAGCCAAACAGAAGATAGTTTTCTTTAAGAATGACACGTGATCACATAAACCATTGCTTCCATGACCCAGAGACCAAAAGACTAGATGGTGCCCATCTACCACGACTGATTACTCTGATCGGGACCACAGAAGGTCTGGTGCAGAACAGGAGAAAGATGCAGAAAAAATTCAAAATTATACAAAAGACCAGATTTACGGGTGGACAGACTGGTGGGACCCCTGAGCCTGTGGCCCTTAGACACCCCTCAGACCTGGAACTGAGCCCACCCCCTTGGATCACCTTTCAGCCAAACAACAGACAGGCCTGTAGGGTGAACAGTAACCCTTGTGAGGACGGATTCCTCAGAATAGTGAACCACAGGAGACCACCAGGGCAGAAGTTGCCCAAAAACAAAGCTGAGAAGGCAGGACGGGGCAGGAAAGAAGGACAAATGGAAACAGGGAACCAAGGAAGGAAGTGGGAAGAATGCCGTTACAGGGAGGGAATTGCAACTAATGTTATGAAACAAAACGTGTATATGTATACACACACACACACACACACACACACACACACACACACACATATATATATTTTAATAACCTTTTATAGTAATATGGGTGAAAGTTTACAGAACAAATTTGTTTTCCATTCAACACTTCACACACCTTTTGTGACCTTGATTGCATTCCCCACGTGATGTAACAGCTCTCTTCCCACTTCTTCCCTGTGGTTATCACTTCCCTTCACCCTTCTTTCCATCCCTTCCAGCTTCCTGGACTTTTTCCTGGGCGAAGGCTGCCCTTTTGATCTCGTATGGTGGATTGTTCTAAGGAGTCAGGACCTCGCTGGTGTTACTGCTCACTGACAGGCCTGTCTACTGGTTGGCTAGAAGCTGAGCACATGGCTGAGTTTAGCTGCAGGCTTGAAGGCTGTCAGGGCCACAGTCTTGGCAGTTACATTGGTCTATTAGACCAGGAAGCCTGGTCTTTTTCTCCTTTTTCATTGAGCTTCGTTCCACATTTTTCTCCCACTCTGTCCAGGACCTTCTATTGTGATCAGTCAGCAGTGGTAGTCGGGCACCACCTAGTTCTTCTGGTCTCAGGGTCATGAAGGCTGGGGTTTGCATGATCCATTAGTCCTCTGGACTAACTGTTTTCTGGCACCTTTGATTTTCTTCACTCTTCTTTGCTCTGGACGGAGAAACTAATAGTTAGACCTCGGATGGCTGCTCATAAGTTTTTTAAGACCCCAGTTGCTACTCACCAAAGTAGGATGTAGATACAGTGGAAGAAAAATGTGGAACAAAACTCAAAATCATAAAAAAGACCAGGCTTACGGGTCTGATAGAGACTGACAGAACCCTTGAGACTATGGCCCTTAGACAGCCTTCAAGCCTGGAACTAAACTCACCCCTGTGGCTCAACTTTCAGCCCTAGCCTACAGACAGGCCTGTAAATGATAACACCAGGGAGGTCCTCACTCACAGCAACCAACCACAAGAGATCAAAAGGGCAGCCTTTGCCCAGGGATACAGCTCAGAAGGAAGAGAGGGAGGGAAAGAAGGATGGAGGGAAATGGTGACCACAGGGAGGGAGTGGGAAGAGAGCTGTTACATTGTGGGGAGTGCCATCAATGTCACAAAACGTGTACGAGCTCTTGAATGGAAAACAAATTTGCTCTGTAAACTTTTACCCAAACCACACACACACATGATTTCAACCATTAAAACAAACAAACAAAAAGAATGACGGGTTCGGCCCCATGATGACGGCATCTGTGTACACTCACGTGCACACCTGTACACGCGTGGACCGTGCTGCAGAACAGACTCGGTCAGGTAGGAAGCAGACACGCGACTGACGTCACTTCATCAGTCATTACTGCTAAGGTGATTTTGTGCAGTTTGGGTTTTCAACAAACAACACAGACACAGACCAAGGCCTGCAGAAGCTGGCTTTTCCAGGAACTGCAGGGCCACCTGGACTGTGACTGAGGAGGTGGCAGGGTGGTGGCTGTGGCTCTGCCAGTACCCAGTTCAGCTGACAAATCAGGAGGGGCTCATGTGTGTCAACACTCTCTGGAATGAAGTGCATGGATTCTCCACGTCTCCTCCTGGAATGGTGGGACAGGTGTGAGGGGCAGGATGGAGCTAGGACGTGGCTTCTCTTGGTGCCAGAAGGCTCCTGCTCCAAAGAGAACCAAGGGCCGGAGAAAAGCTAGGGTGGGCTGCATGGCTTCCTATGCTTGGGTAGAGACAGCAAGAACGCAGGCAGGTGTGGGCAGCCTCTGCCCACCGAGCTTGGCGTCCCCGCCAGCCTGCTGTCTGCCCGATTTCATCCTTGTGAGCTGTTAGGGAGCTATCCAGGGACAGGCAGAGCTCCAGCACCACAGGGGCATGCTAGGTGCCTGGCACCCTCCTTCTCAGCCAACCACAGAACTAGGGCAAAGGGAAAGATCGCCGATCCCCAGCTGCCGCGCAGGGAGCCTTTCCGTGTCAGGCACGACACCGAGCACTCGCATCTGTGATCTGGTAAATTCTCGAGCAAAGTTGGGCTAGTTTGCAGATGAGACTGAGGCTTGAAGGCTGAGTGACTGTTCCAAGGTTAAGAGGCAAGCTGAGTGGTAGAGCTGGGATGTGAAAGCAGATCAGCACATAACGCTGGGCC